ATAATAAATATTTAAATTTTTATATAAATATAATATATAAAAATTATATGAAAATAAATTCCTCCTTTTTTATTTTTAAAACTCCAATTTTAATTTGTTTCTTCACGAACGTTTTATTTTATATTCCGTTCAAAATATTTTTCTAGGTCCGCCACTTACATCAGTGGAAAAGCGTGTCTTCTCCTTGCTTCACACGTGCTACTACCTCACTGAATACTTAATTTACTAATTTACCCTTTTGTTTAAAGCTCTATTAGAAGGTTGTGTTTATAATTAGGTTGGTTTATAGCCGCAATTTAAGAATGTATTCGGGGGTAAAAGAGGGAAAAAAATAGGAATGCTTTGGTACGAAGGAAATTACTTGAAGCTGGTTGAATGTTCGGCTGAGAACGAGCCAGCAGGTTTCGGGTGTGTGGAGTGGGGCCACAAACAGTCAACTAAACGTCACCACGTAGGTAATATCAGAAACATCGAGAGAAGGCTATAAAAGTATAAATAGCCATCCTCTCCAGCCCCCCATAAGAATTCCTTCTCTGTGGAAAAACACAGCACAAAATTTTCTTTGAAAACCCGAAATCCGGATATCGTTAAGAGTCCTTTCCCGAAGCAGCAGAAGACAACAACCGAACAAGCGAGACGGAAACTGTAGCCGTGTCTGAATTCCTTCAAGCTGTCAAGATTACTTCAGTTGAAACAAATCCTTCCGCCGTAATGTCGTCAGAGGATTTTACCAGGTTGGTTTCCTTTTCCACAATTTACTACTAGTAAGTTGGATTCTTGATTGGGTTCTTGTTTAAATCTGGTTAATTCATGTCTTATTTCTTGGGTTAATCTTGGATTTTTGTAATCTCTATTTTTCTTGATGTTTTTAGTTCAAGGATATTGGGGGTTGAAGTGGTGTTTACTTTCTGTTTGGTTACCCAGAATTCCAAGAAAATTTGGTTTAGTCTGTTTAATTTCTTGATATCCAAGTAAATTACAACAATTTTGACCGTTGGAATTGGGTTTTCTAGTATTATATTCGTGGGATTTAATTAAAAGAAATCTTAATTCTGATTAATAACTTTGAGTTCAAGCAGAAATAGGAATTAAACCTGTTAATATATACCCAAATCACTCGTTTGAGATTTGCATAGGGCTTTGGGGTAGTACTGTTCTTGCTTTGGATAATTTTGTTGATATTAGGAGTTTTTGATTAAGTACGGTTTGTAGGAATATTAGTTTTTATGAAGATGGATAGTTATGATCAAGATCTTAACAGGAATATTAATTGTCTTGATTCTTCCAGGAAGAGAAAGCGCACCAGAAGAGGTGATGGTGCTTCTGTGGCTGAAACTCTTAAGAAGTGGAAAGAATATAATAAAGGTCTAGATTCTGGTAATGATGGGGGAAAATCAGTTCTTAAGAAACATGCTAAGGGATCGAAGAAGGGATGTATGAAGGGTAAAGGGGGGCCGGATAACTCGACCTGTAATTATAGAGGGGTTAGGCAGAGAACATGGGGCAAGTGGGTGGCTGAAATCCGGGAGCCAAAAAGTGGAAGAAGGCTCTGGCTTGGCACTTTCCCTACTGCTTATGAAGCAGCACTGGCATATGATGAAGCTGCAAGGACAATGTATGGTGAATCCGCTCGCCTGAATTTTCCTCATATCTCTTCAAAGGATTCTTCAGCTTCAGTTGCCACTTCATCTGGTAGTTCTTCAGTTGTGACACATTCGAGTCCTTCTTCAGTGGCAACTCCTCCTGGCTCTGATTACATCACAACGTCAAACCATTATGAGATCTGTGATAAGGTAGATCATGTTGCCCCCAAAGCATGCCAGGATGATGGAGATAGTGAATCTGCTGCTGTCTTGGCAGTCCATTCACCAAGTATAACAGTCCAGCCTACTGAGGAGGAGGGAAACAAAGAGACGAGGCAACATGATGGAGATAATAAATGTGACATCGAACATGAAGCAAAGGAGGCCAAACTAGGACAAGAAGTGGATGATTCATATTTCAGTATGCTTGATGAACTTGATCTTAGTGATCTTTGTTGGCAGGATTTTTCAATGGATGAAATGTTTGAGGGAGATGAGCTGCTGAGATCTCTGGGTGATGTTCCTGTCGAAGGCTTAATTCCAAATCAAGATGCTGCTCTAATGGGTTTACATGGTGATGGTAGTGCAGAGTATCTGCAACCGTCTTTGTCATATCAGTTGCAGGACCTGGATGCAACTTTGCATCATATGGAGCCCTTTGGTGGGCAGCAGGATAACAACTTCATGGTGGAGATCTAGGATTCTATGAACTACCTGCCGTCTCTTCTTTGAAGCAAATGTTGTGATTTAGGCTGAACAAGCACAGCGGGATAGATTTCATCATTTATCGCTTCTTTGTCTAGGGATTTGTTGCTTTTATGTCCCAAATACAGAGATGGATGTTGACCTTCTTGTTAATTTTCTGCGTCACTGACTTTGGTGAATATGCTGATTCTCTATATTTTTTTTTAATAGGGAATTTAACTACATTATTTAGTTCTTTCCCAACGGAATAAAGTTGGTGCTGACTTGAATAATATTTGCATTCAGATCTTTCTTATGCAGTTTTTAGCTGTCAGTTTCTTGCATCCTTAATTTGTTTTTACACACACACACACATATATATATATATATATTTTGTTACATAGGAAGCTATCTTTAGAGCTTAAGTCTCGAGGAACATGGTCCCCAGAGAATCGCCTTGCAGAATTAGATTAAGCCCAGCCGGGGGCAGATGTTGTTATATATGTATTGTTGCTGCTGGTATTCTGCTTGTCGGTGTATTAAGACTATGTTTGATATCACTAGTGGAAAGTTTTTTAGATTTAAAAAACTTTAGATGCACCAAATATTATAATTTATGAAAAATATTATAATTTTTCATAAGTTAATATTTTATTTATTTTATTATAAATCTCTAAGCATCGAATTAGTATTTTTGTAAAAATTTTTTATTTAAATTTTAATAAAATTAATTATATTATTTTTATTTTTTTCATCTATAAAAATAATTTTTTTACAATAATTTTTTTTAATAAAATTTTTATTAAAACCTCTAATCAAACCAAACCACGTTAAATTTAGTGCGGTCATGAACATTTCACTCTTGTTATTTGTACTTGGCTGTTTTTAGAGGTGCAGCGGCGTCGTTTCGTAATCTGAGCTTACAACTCACGTGAGCCATTATAGTGGCCGAATACAACCTCAATCTAGAAGGGGAACAAAACGCAACGCGTGAGGCTGTCTTCACAAAGCTTCCGTGGGATTGGATAAACAGGTCCCCACCCAGGGCCTGATGGGCCGTACGTATTCAGGCAGCTGTCTCTTTCTGGCAGCTATTAAAAACGTTCCAAAGCTGACTTTAATTTATGAGACAATGAACTGACGACCAACCAGGCCTGAGACTTAATTGTTGATACCTAAAAAGGATTGAGTGAGATGAAGATCAGAGTTTTAAGTTTTGTCATTATCGTGAATTTCATTAATTTATGATCTAACGGTCGTACGTCTCATATGAGGGGGTAAAATGTTCACAATTCTAAAAAATTTTAGTTACTATCAAATTAACTCTACTAACTTCTTAATTATTATCATTGTCTAAAAAAAAAAAAAAAAGAACTGACGCATTTTTTTTGCGTTGGTACATATTCTTCTTACATAATGCATAAAGAACAAGTTAAATATGGTGATACTGCTTAATGCTATTGTAAGTTTTTCCTTTTGTGATTATGGCGGACAAAGTACACTTGCATTTCCAAAATTAAGAGACAATTATAGGCTAAGGTATATTTCTTTAGGAAGATGGTTGCCTCACCTTTCAGGTAAAGGATAATATGACTTTTACAACACCTTATTGTCAACCTATTGAATGACTTTTTCCTTTTTTTAATAATTAGAGGAAGAAATTGAACCCACACTGAAAAAGGTTTAGAGTATGCACATTTCCCTTTTTTTTTTTTTTTCTTGAATATAGGCAATGATGCACATTTGCAGTTGAGTCATTAAGTTTATGTGTGTGCTCAAAAACCTACTATTCTACTAATGATCATCTAAAGTAATTATCAATATTTGATCATATGACCGTTATATTTTATTCTTTTTAAACCATTACAGTATTATTGAGGTAACTTTTACATATATTAAAATTAATTTATTCAAATAATCTTAAGAATGATTTTGTTTACACCATAAATTACAAAAATTTATTAGTTCTCAATTATTAAATACTCAATTATTATTTCATTAAATACTCAATTATTAATTCTCTTTAGTACTAAGGCAACTAAATACTTAAATACCTTCAAAACGTATTTCACACGGCAAAATTATTTATAAATCAAACACAAAACACAGACTTAAAAAGTTTAGTTTTTATTTATTTATTTATTTTTACTTAAAAATATTATACAATTTAAACTATTCTATTAAATAAAAATAAACACTAATATTGAAGGGCACTTTTTCTATTGAACTCTTATTTTTATTTTTATTTTTTGTATCTAATAATAATAAATTATATATAAAAAAAAAAGATAATTTACCTTATTCTTATCCAACTTAAAATTTAAATTTTAAATTTTAAATTTTAAATATTTTAACTGTTAAGATTAACTATTATTTTTATATCTAAGAACTTAGAATTGACTTTTGTGACTAACCAAGTCAGTGAAGTCACAAATGTGGTACTGACGCATGTGGTGATGCACTGATGCCACAAGCGCATTTTTTCTAACGGAAAAGATATCATCGTTACATCACGAACTCTGACTGACCGCTCCTCCCACGCAGGCACGGACTCACCCAAACGTCTAATTAACGCCATTCCCACATTCCCGTCTTGCCATTCCTTTTCCCCACACAATTACACAACCTGCCACTCACCCTATGACCGAGCCTGACTGAGTCAGTCATTACTGACACTGGCCCCCCCCTCCCTCGTTTTTCCTCATGCAGTAGGCAATTGCACAAACTCCAAAATTTTCACAGACTGACTCAGCCTCTGTCCTTTTCCTACCTTTTTCCTCGCCTCATTGTTTTCTTCCCCTCGTCTCCCTTTCACTCCCCGCTCAATCCTGCTCTCTGCTCCTTCAACCTCATCCATGGCCGCTGCATTCCGACCTCCTTTCTTACCTCGATTCTCTCATTTCCGGCCGTAATCGACTCCGAATTCCAGCTTTTATTGCAGGTAAAATTGCTCGTGTCATGTCTTCGTTCGCTTTCCGCTTGCATTTTACTGCTTCTGATTGTTGAAAGAATAACAATGTTCGTTTTCTCTGGAATGATCTTTATTTGCTGATCTTTGGTTGGTTGCATTTTGCAATGGTGATTATCCTCTGTCAACTGTGTGCTTTAATTCATGCTTAAGAGAGTTATTCCTACTGATTATGATTTCAACGATCTCCTTAATATGATCAAGGAGTGATCCTGTTGTGGATTTGTGTAACTAAGTGCAAAATCATCAGTATATGTTTCATGCAAAAGATGTTTGGTTACTGTTTGTGCTTAGACTGTAGCGAAATGGTCTTTGTAATCTTCAAGGATGCGTGTTTTCTCGGTTTGCTTTTCTGGTTCTGTAATTTTTAGCTTCTTTTTCCTCATATTTTTTATTTTAATTGCGAAATCGGTTGCATTTCAGATAAGTGATCAGTGGCTTTGTTGACAGCAAAAGATGAGGAAAAGGCCTTTACATCAATCGAAACATCCATTTGAAGAACATCGTAAGAGTTTATGTCTTTGGAATTTTTTCTTTTAACAAGTTGTTTGGCTGAAATTTAGTTTGACTTTTAATGTGGAAGAAGAAAAAGATTTGACATTGCTTTTGTGATTCATTGTTGGTTTGTACTTTATGTTAGGACTAACAACTAACAGTATATGTTAAACATTTCTTCCAATTACAGTCAAATAGGATTTCATTTTTTAGTATTATTATTTGTGATAGTTTCTCTGATGTTCTTTCTGTTTGACAGCTTTTGAGGTCTTCTATTGTGGCTCCTGGCAAACTGTAAAAGTCATAAGAATTGAGAATGGGGTTATGATTATGTATCTGACAGATAATCAACATGTGATTGAGGAGAAACGTCCATTCTCAAATCTTCGTATTAAGTCAAGGGAGGCTACCTTAAATGACTGCACTTGCTTTTTGAGGCCTGGAGTTGATATATGCGTACTTTCACTGCAGGCAGATAGTTCTGATGAGGCAAATCAGGAGCCTGTAAGTTATTAGATGAATTTGAGCTGCTTGCATTTGTTATACTTATTTACTTGTGGCATTTAGCACCTTATGTATCAATTGATAGAATTTTCATGCAATAGATATAGTAACATGCTGCAGAATATCTTACAATAGTACCATCCAGTTATGTTGTTTAAGAGAAGCTTGTACGTGCATGCACAGTACGCTACTTATAAATAAGTGGATGGGGGAATGTGTCTCTCAAGTGATTGGAGAAGAGGACTTAAACTTATTTGAAAAACTTTGAGATTACTTCTGGCTGTGATTGTCAAAATGTTAATGCATTGAACTTCTTGGCATATGACTTATAATCCTGGGATTCTAATGGTGCTTAGGTTTCCAGTATTGCTAATGTTACCATTTTATGCTTTACTTGCCTTTTCTGGATATATGCAATTATGTTCACAATAATCTTCTTTGAATCTTTTATCCAAGTTGTGTCGTGACTCTTGATTCTCTTTTTCATTAGGTGTGGCTTGATGCGAAAATAAGTTCTATTGAGAGGAAGCCTCATGAGTCTGAATGCTCATGCCTGTTTTATGTTAATTTCTATGTTAACCAAGGTCCTCCTGGTTTGGAGAAATTAACACTTGGCAAAGACACTGAGATAGTTGGACTCAACCAGATATCTATTCTCCAAAAGCTTGAAAAAGGTCATTGTGAAAATCAGCACTACCGGTGGGATTTCTCAGAGGACTGCTCTACAGTTCAGCGAACTAAGATATTTTTGGGGAAATTCTCATCTGATGTTTCATGGCTGCTTGTTACATCAGTTTTGAAGCAGATTGCATTTGAAGTGATATCTGTGGAAAAGAAGATTGTTTATCAAATTTTGGATGATGACAATAGTCCTCTAACATCTGATAATAGTTTTTATGCTGTAAATTTCAGAGTAGAAAATGGAACTTCAGTATCTGCAGTTATCCAATTTGGCCTGTTTGATACTCCAGACCCTAGTGCTTCTTGTAATACAGATGAGGGTGGACAATCATCATTTTTTAATGCTACATCTCTGCGACGTTCTAAACGTAGGAATGTACAACCTGAGCGTTTCCTTGGCTGTGATAATACTCTGGAGCCAGATCCTAACTGGTTCCTTTCAGGGGCATGCAGGAAGTGGAGGAAAGAAGAGGAGGAGGAGGAGGAGGATGATTATGATGATGATGATGATGACGACAATGATGCTGATGAGGACATGCTTGTACCATTGTCTCATTTATTTGGGATGAATCCAAGTTCTTCAGTAGAACATATTCAGAGTAAAAGAAAAGATATTGTTGTGTCTAAGGACAAGGCTAAGTCAAGTGAGGTAAAATCACGCTGGAAGAATCCAATTCTGAGTGAACATCAAAACAAACTTGCCCTTGTTCCTGTACCATCTGAAAGTGATTCTCTAGCCATTGAAAGGTATCACCACCCTAAAAGTCCTAGAAATTATTCAGAAGAAATGGATAGCATTTCTTTTAAGCATTACAAATCGAATGGCAATCACATGACTCAGAGGCAAAAAATCCCTGCATTGGACTATATGGATTATGAATTCACGTGGAAGAGAAGATTTTTTAATAACAGAGTCCAAAGTAAGAGTCGCCATTCTATATGCTCAAGAAGGGATCACTCAAGAAGGGAAGATTTTGATGAACCACTCAGTTTTAGAAAAACACCTCTAAGTGCTGGTGCTTACAATAAATTGATAAATTCATATCTGAGGAACATTGATTCTACAATCACAAAGGAGGAGCCACTTGTTATTGACCAGTGGAATGAGTTTAAGAAGGGAAAATTATCAGAAAAAAGAATTGAAACCGAACAACCCTCAGTGCAGGCTGAGGAAGAAATCTCAGAAATTGAAATGTTATGGAGAGAAATGGAACTATGCATGGCATCAGCTTATCTTGAGGAGGATGAGGTAACCTACCAAAAATTTTGCCTGTTGCATACATCTCAACCTTCTCTTTTGCATGACGCATTACTTTTAGTATAATGATTTTCAGGCTAGAGTATCCACCGAACCTCTGAAAAAATCAAGTGAAGGTTGCCAGCATGAGTACATATTAGATGAAGAAATTGGGATCCGATGTCATATCTGTGGCTTTGTGAGCACTGAAATAAAACATGTTTCAGCACCCTTTGTAAGTATTAAACTGAAGACATGAGTATCGTTTCAGTTACCTCTTCCTTAAGAAAAAATCTTAAAGGACTCAGGTTGTTTTTTGACATTCAGCTACTCATTTTCTGAGTATGTAGGGGAAGAGGATCTTTTTATTTTTTATTCTCCCTCCATTCTGTTTATATATTTAACAACTGACCTGGTGTGTAGATTCAGGAAACGTGATGTTTTAATTCATGTAAAAGATTGACTTTGTTATTATTTTTCATATATTGAAATCATAAAATCTTTTCTAGCATAAAATTCAATGTGTTAATTCATGTAAAAGATTAAGTGTAAAAAAATTCAGAAATGTAAGGTCTTGCATGAGAAGTTACATTTGTACTGGGACGTAATGAAATATGAAAATTAAGTGATATAGAAAATGGGACAGAAGAATAATTGCAAAATTTTTAGAAGGATAATGAATATTGATTCTAGAATGTATGGTGTATTACTCCTTTTCGGGCTTCTTATGATGCATGTAATACCCTTTTTTTTTTCCTTTTCCCAAATATAATGAGCTTGGGGACTGACATTTCAATTTAGTTGGCCTTTTTCTCCTAATTCTTGTTCATTCAGTTTGCTCTATTAAATTGCATTTTCTGATTTCTCTGTTTTCCACCATTCTAGATGGAACACACAAGCTGGACAACAACAGACAGTAAATGGTGTGAAGAAGATCCAAAGTACAAGGCCGATGAAGATGAGGGCTTAGATATTTCATTCAATCACAATTCCTCAGATTCGCCCTTATCAGAAGAAAATGATAATATCTGGGCCCTAATCCCTGAATTTAGGAAGAAATTACACTTCCATCAGAAGAAGGCCTTTGAGTTCCTGTGGCAAAATATTGCTGGCTCTTTAGTACCTGCGCTCATGGAATCATCATCTGAGAATACTGGTGGTTGTGCTGTATCTCATTCTCCTGGAGCGGGGAAGACTTTTCTCATTATTGCCTTCCTTGTCAGCTACTTGAAGTTATTCCCAGGAAAGCGGCCTTTGGTCCTTGCTCCTAAGACAACTCTTTACACCTGGTACAAAGAATTTATCAAGTGGGAAAGTCCAATACCTGTCCATTTAATCCATGGTCGCAAAACTTATAGGGTCTTTAAGCAGAGATCTGAGAGGTTTAATGGAGTTCCAAGACCCAATCAAGACGTCATGCATATTCTGGATTGCCTTGAGAAAATACAGAAGTGGCATGCACAACCAAGTGTCCTTGTTATGGGTTATACCTCTTTTCTCACGTTAATGCGAGAAGATTCAAAATTTGCTCACAGAAAATATATGGCTAAAGTGCTTAGGGAGAGCCCTGGACTCCTCATACTAGATGAAGGGCACAACCCCAGAAGTACCAAATCTAGGTTGAGAAAGGTTCTAATGAAAGTTGAAACTGACCTGAGGATATTGCTTTCAGGTACATTGTTCCAGAACAACTTTTGTGAATATTTCAATACCCTCTGCCTAGCAAGACCAAAGTTTGTTAATGAAGTATTGAGTGAATTAGACTCCAAATTCAAGAGGAAAAACTGTGGGGTGGAAAAAGCTCGCCATTTGTTAGAAAATCGAGCAAGGAAATTCTTCCTAGACATTATTGCTAGGAAGATTGATTCAGACATTGGCGAAGAGAGGATGGTGGGTCTTAACATGTTGAGAAATATAACAAGTGGATTCATTGACGTGTATGAAGGTGCAAATTCTGACAGCCTCCCTGGTTTGCAAATTTATACCATGGTGATGAATTCAACAGACATACAACATGATGTTTTAGTAAAACTTCGTGACATAATGGCTGGATACACTGGCTACCCATTGGAATTGGAGCTTCTAATAACCCTTGCATCAATACATCCTTGGTTGGTCAGAACTTCTAACTGTGTAGGTAAATTTTTCAGTGCAGAAGAACAAATGGAGCTTGAGAAGCTGAAGTATGACTTTAAGAAAGGGTCCAAAGTGATGTTTGTCCTAAACCTTACTTATCGAGTTGTGAAGAGGGAGAAGGTTCTACTTTTCTGCCACAACATTGCACCCATTAATTTATTTGTGGATTTATTTGAGAATGTCTTCCGATGGCAGAAAGGAAGAGAAATACTGGTTCTTACAGGCGATCTAGAGCTATTTGAACGTGGAAGAATAATAGACAAGTTTGAGGAGCCAGGTGGGCCTTCCAGGGTACTACTTGCATCAATTACGGCCTGTGCTGAAGGCATTAGTTTGACAGCTGCTTCAAGAGTGATTTTGTTGGATTCTGAATGGAATCCTTCCAAGAC